CTAGAATGAAGAAAGGGGGCGGGGCTATTGCTTGCTTACAAGTGCCTGTAGAAAAATTATAATAATTGAAATTGTTGGGAGAAAACAATGAATGTCACATTTTTATTATTTTTTTTTATCATTAATAGTTTTACACAAATTCAATGAGTATTTTTTTTAAGTTGTAAAATGCGGAGAAAACATTGAATGTCCACGTAAAACTTAAACAGATACGGAGAAAACAAGAAATGTCATAACGAAATGTAGACAAAAAACGTAGAACTAATCCCATCCACCACCGCGTTTGAATTTCATTGGCTTGTTTGATTACATGGAAATTGAATTTTATTTTGTCATGTGATCGAATCCATTTATAAGAATTCAAAGTGGCCCCGCCCACCCACCCGATTTTAATCTTGATTACTCGTTTTATGGGACGAAAAGGTAAAACTAACCCCACCCACGTCCGCTTTTGGGTGTCATTGGTTTTTTTGATTAAATGAAGACTGAATTTTACTATGTCAATTGCGAACTAGACTTACAAAAATTCAAAGTGGCCCCGCCCACCCACCCGGTTTTCCTCCTGATCACTCATTCTATTGGACAAAAAGGGAATTTTATATTGGCAAACAACGAAATCTAGACAAAAAACGCAAAACTAATCACACCCGCCACCGCTGTTGAATTTCATTAGTTTTTTGATTAGATGAAGACTGAATTTTACTACGTCAAATGGTGAATTGGGCTTAAAATATTCAAAGTGGCCCCGCCCACCCACCCGGTTTTCTTTTTGGTCACTCATTTTCTTGAACGAAAAGTGCATTTTATATTGAACAACAGTGGAATCTAAACAAAAAGCTAATAGTTGACGACGTTTTCCTATAGATAAATATATGGACAGAACAGAGACTCGGACATTCACAGTTTTCTCCCAACCGTGTCGGTACTTCGTTCAAATTTCATTTTCTATTATGTTAACATTTTGTTTCTTGCTCAATGTTCATTCAAAATAAAGTATTGTTCGAGTAGAAGAATTTTTGTGTAAACTATGAAAATATAATATGCGACAATTAAAAAAAAAACCTTCATTTTAATCTGACATTCATTGCTTTCTCCTGACACCCTTCAATTATTATTCTATTCTATTACATGTAAACATTTTGGAAGAAGAAACTGGTGGGTACTTTAGCGTACTAATAATGTCCGGGCCTAATTTTACATTAATATCTCGTGATTCGCCACTTAAAATTAAACTGATGTTTTCTAGGAGCTTATAATTAGTATTTTCACTATTCTTTTATGTTTTTATTTACAGAATCGCCATTTTTCCTGAAACATAAAATAATAATGTGACATTAATTAACAGTGTTAAGAGTAGTCAGTGAAATAAAGAGGGGGTGGGTAGGCGAGGCTATTGCTTGTAGTCTCTGTAGCAAAAAGTTAAGCTTAGCTCCGCCCACCTTCCCGTCCTCTCATCACAATTAGTATAACAAAAATGGTTTCAGTGGTCCATTTTACCTGGTCTGAATGAAAGGTGGATCTTATACTGAACAGAATAAAATTGTTACAATGATAAGAACGCGAGTGGGGGGGGGGTCTAGAACCTGCTAAGATAAACTGATTTTTGCACATGTCATACACTCTAAAAACATTAAGGGTGGGTGGGAGGGGCTAGTAGTTGCTAAGATGAGAATAATTTTGGCGAATGACCTATCCCCTAAGAAAATAGAGGGCGGGTGGGCGGGGCTAGTAATTGCTAAAATAAGACTGAGCAATATTAAGAATTGTTACCGGAATCAAGGAAAGAGGGGCGGGTGGGCGGGGCTACTGTTTGCTTATAAGAGTTTGTAGAAAGTAAATCAGGAACAAAATATGAAAGACTAATTAATAAATCTTAATACAATCAAATGGTTGTCATGCAACTAAATAAGATTTACTAGACACTTTAACACTAAAGTAACCCATCAGTGGATTAGCAATATAACGCCCACAAGCATCAGAAGTTTCGTCTACTACAAAATGTATAAATTGGTTTTTTACAATTTGTTTAATACTAGAAATACTCTCGTTGTAAATACCTGGTACATTAATTTTTTCTCAGCCTATATATGTACCTGCTAAGATAAGAGTGATTTTGGCAAATAAGATACCCTCTAAGAAAATGAAGGGTATTTGGCAAAATCAGTCTTATCTTGGCAAGTATTGTTCATACAGATTTTTGTAATAAATAATTTTAATAAATTTTTACCCCGGCGCCTCCACCATTTTTATCAAAAAATTTAAACTTGACGAAAAGAGCTTACAATGTTATCATTCTTTTCAGAAATTTTCTCAAGATTACGAATTTGTCCTTCCTTTCTTAGTTTCTTTTCAAATCAGTGAGAAAGAGATGTTTTTAGGGAAAAAAATACCACATTTTTCTCAAAGCCGGTCATTTATTTTCCTTCAGGTCTATGTTTGTTCCGATATTTAATTAGATATCAAAACATCCAAAGAAAATCACAATTTCTTTTAACATACACTATTTCTGAAAGGAGTTCCTACAGATTTCTGTTATAAATAATTTTAAATAATTTTTTTCCTGGCGCCTCCGCCATTTTTATCAAAAACCTTTAAACTTGACGAAATGAGTTTACAATGTTATCATTCTTTTCAGAAATTTTCTCAGGATCACGAATCTGTCCTTCCTTTCTTAATTTCTTTTCAAATAACCGACAAAGAAATGTTTTTAAGGAAAAAATACCACATTTTTCTCAAAACCGATCACTTATTCTCCTTCAGGTCTATGTTTGTTCCGGTATTTAATTAGATATCAAAACATCCAAAGAAAATCATAATTTCTTTTAACATACACTATTTCTGAAAGAGCTCCTACAGATTTCTGTAATAAATAATTTTAAATACATTTTTTCCCGGCGCCTCCACCTTTTTTATCAAAAACTTTAAACTTGACGAAATGAGTTTACAATGTTATCATTTTTTTCAGAAATTTTCTCAAGATCACGAATCTGTCCTTCCTTTCTTAATTTCTTTTCAAATAACCGACAAAGAGATGTTTTTAAGGAAAAAATACCCCATATTTTTATCAAAACCGGTCATTTATTTTCCGTCAGGTCTACGTTTGTTCCGCTATTTAATTAGATATCAAAACATCCAAAGAAAATCATAATTTCTTTTAATATACAGCCTATTTTGTGCAAATAGTTGACAATTTGTGAATGGTTAGCATCAAGCAACAATTAACAACCAAATAACTTGTGTGTTAATTATATTTATTTACGTGCATTTTATTTTTTATCTTTTATATTAATTGCCATTAAATTAATATTTAAATATGCTTTTATCCGAAACGTCCAGGTTTTTGGAAAATAAATCAATATTATAAAACAACATTTTGCAATTTAATCTGGATTTAAAATGTCTTTATTTGTCATTCCATTCATATTTTTGGATTTACTTATATAAGGCGACTCAAAAAATTAATGAATCCGTGAATTTATTTTATTGATTTAATAAGGAACTGCAAAACCGAATGCTTTGAAATCTTGGAGATGTTTTAAAGTTGTCATAAGTATGGTAAATTTTTGATCAAAATTTATTTGCTCATCCCCCTAAAAAATTGATGACGTCACTTCAAAATATTGCTGAGTAAATCCTATCTTAAATAAAATATGATGAGTCTATACTTGTGATTTATCACGCATTAATATTTTTAGATTTGCTTATACAGGGTGTCTCAAAGAATTGAATGACCCAGTCAAATTATTTTATTAATTAAATCATAAACGGCTCACTCTATATTCTCACAAAATTGTTGAAGTACAGTACTGTTATTTCTAGTATTACAGTGCGCCAATCCAAGGTTATCTACACGTCCTTGGAAAAATGTTGATGACGACATTACAAAATTGTATAAAAATAAAATAATAAATTGTACAGTTATTGGGGATTAAACTATACAGTGATCTGTTTTTCAAACAATGTACAACCTAATCTTTTTAAACAGAACACCCTATATATTTTTCCGTAATGCATTGGTCTCTTCCTAGACTTTAAAACTGTAGTTAATTTTTGAAATTCTGAAGAGACGTTACCGCGTTATTTTTATTCTCAAAAAATTAAAATTTGAACGAAATTGGAATGAAGTACAACATCGCATCAAAAATTCAAAGATGAAGTATATTATTTTATATAAAAAAAGTAAGGGAACACTCTTTATAGTTGAAAAAAAATTGAGTGTATTGCATTTAGAAAATCACAGTATAATTTTTGCCTTTAACTTTGTTTTTCTATATCTAATAATAATGAAGGAGACATCGAGGGGGCGCTTTTGGTGACTCACTTGTATATAGATCCAGGTTCTCAATTTCATTTTTATACAGACGTCTCAAACAATATTTGATGGTGCCATTTATATTATTCATAAAATGAAAATTAAAAACTAAAACTTTCAATTAGATCGTATTTTTCTTAAGTTATGTCGAATTTGCAAGAAATTACTTAAGTATTAAAGAAATGCAAAAGCTGAACTGTTCACCGTTAATTACCCGTTGTGCAGAACTCCGGTCTCCTGAATAATAAAACAAGACATCCCCACATTTTTTCGAACGTTAGTACTAATCGAATTTCTGATAAAAAAGCTCTAACAGGTCGGTAAGTGAAGTCTTCGCGTGCAATAAATCCTAAAACTTAATGTGAGAGCCAGAATGTGTCCAAGCATTCTTTCGTACAAAATGTTCCAAACACATTAAAAAATCTGCCAGTATTAAAATTTTAGAGTGTTAAATTGCATGTTCGTCGAGAACGATCAAGTTGCAATTCAATTAATATTTGATTAGCTAGCATCAGTCGCTGGTAATAATTGCCACTCATTAATCAGTAATTGTGTCTTTTTGGCGCACAATCCAACCGACGCGTTTCATTGGGGCCAGCTTTTACAACCACAATAGTTATAAAGGACAAAAGACTCACCAATACGGTTGTTGTTAGTTCTTGATTGTGTACTCGTAAATAGAAATAAAATGAAAACGTTCAACTGGAAAGATATAATGAAACGAAGCATCTTCATGTTGAAAATTCTGGGTTTGTGGCCCCCTGGTGACACGTACAAGTTCGATTTCTACTCAGCGTACTCTTTCGTGTCTATAGCAGCTTTCACATGTGGCCACAACTTTTTTCAAATCATTAACATATGTTTCATTTTTCCGGATCTGGAAGTAATAGCAGCCACTATTTTTGTAACACTACCAGAACTGTTGGTCATAATGAAAACGTACTACGTCATCCAGAACATGCAACTTCTTAAACAACTGATGGTGGATATTAACCAAGAGCATTTTGAGCCCAGAAGCCTATCACAAGTGGAGATGATCCAACCCAGTTTAAGTTTTTTGAGAAAAATAAGCACGGTCCTTTGGAGTATGAGTGCTGGGGCTGTTTTCTTCTCAGCTACGTACCCAATTTTAGATGGGTCGGTGAAAGAACATCGACTTCCGCGTCCGGCTTGGTACCCCTACGATGCCACGGTTTCGCCACTTTACCAAATCACCTACGTTTATCAGATTTTCAGTTTTACTTTTATTGCTGCTACGGCTCTGACGACTGATACGTTGATAGCGATTTTGAATTTGTTTGTTGGAGCGCAATGTGATATTCTGTGTGACGATTTGAAGGATATTTTTAGGGAAGATCACTTGAATTTTGGCAGAAACAAATTTTTGAGTTGCATTAGACACCACAAGGAGATTTTAAGGTAAAATAAATGAAAATTTGATTCTTTATCAAGTTCATTTTTAGGTTTGCTGACAGTAGTAATATATTTTTTAACAGGATTGTGTTTGTTCAGTTTTTTATTAGTACGTCTTCTATTGGAATAACTATGTTTCAACTGACAGTTGTATGTGTTTATTTCATTTTGAATTGTTCTATTTTAGTTTTTTTATAGACGGAACCTCTCACTAGCGAATTTTTCTTGCTAGTGAGCTTCAACATTGCTATAGTAGTGGAGATTTTCATCTACTGTTGGTTTGGTAACGAAGTTGAATTAAAAGTGAGTATTTTAGTAACTATTACAAAAAAATAAAAGTCGGAAATTTCAGAGCAGCGCAATTCCAACCGCAATTTTTCATTCCAACTGGTTAAAAGCTCACATGATAATTAAAAAAGATTTGAGGTTCTTCTTGATGAGATGTCAAAGACCGATTAAAGTATCAGCACTCAATTTGTTTTATCTCTCGCTGGAAACTTTTGTTAAAGTCGTATTAAAAATGGTGGTTTTACACAGTAATCTTGATTTTTATTTTTCAGATTTTACGTGGATCTTGGTCGTATTTTGCCCTATTGAATCAAGCTACTTTTCAGAAGTAAAGGTGTCATGAATGTACAAAGTTTCTATCAAATTTGATATAATATAAACGAGGTTATTTCACAAATTTTTCGTGTAAACATTTTTCTAATAAAAAATTTATAATAACAATTTTGTGAATTGTGGCTTATTTTATCATAACAGTTTTGGTTAAAGAACTTGAAGCTTTTATTATTTTTAAAATAAAATTAATCTGAAAAGTCTAGAATACTTTATTTCCTGAGACGAATTACGACGAAATGAATTGTTTAACTGCCTCGGGAGACATTAAATTCGATTATTTATTAGAGAAATGGCGAAACTAAACGGTTTTCTGTTAATTACACGTTGTGCAGAACTCCTGGCTCCTGTATAATAAAACAAGAAATCGCTACATTTGTTCGGACGTTAATACTAATAGAAATTCTCATAAAAGAAGCTTTAAGAAGTGGGTAAATGAAGTCTTCGCATGACTAATTTTAAAATTGTACAGATCGAAACATTGCATGAGCTTTTTCCACGCCTCTCGCGTTTATTCCTTGCACTTTCATTAGTGGCCACCGTAAAATAATAAAAGATAGAAAACTTAACATTCGGTCTGATATAAATCCTTCCTGTTAAGAAATTTTCAAATAAAACCATGATTATAAATAAAATCTTTTGTGAGTTTTGAATTATCTGAAGGATTTTTTATTTGCTTAACTAAACCGTATTTACATTTTTCCTATAATAATTTGACTCAAGATAACTCACACTCAACTCTAAAGCAAGTAATTAAATAGTTTTAGTACAAAAAAAAAAATGTAAAATATAAACTGCGCGTCAAAAGTTAAGGATATTGATGCGAGACACGTTTATTATTAGCTTTTTGATAATTTTCAACACAATTGAGTACGCTTAAATTAAATTAATTTCGATATCCCTAACTTTTGACGCGCAGTTTATTTTGATACTAGCCCGGCAAGAAATTTTTTTCATCCTTAAAACTGAAGAAGTTTGATTCTCAAACAACGACAAATTTCTTAATATTTCAACAATCAGTGCAAGAATTTTTCATTGATTGACAAATACCGTGTGATTTTTTGATAGGTGATCTACTTTTCGCTGTCCATTATATCACCAAATTGTAGCTCGGGGCTAGAATCTACTAAGATAAAACTGATTTTGGCAAATATCATATCCTCTAAGAAAATAGAGGGCGGGTGGGCGGGCCTAGTGTTTGCTAAAATAAGACTGAGCAATATTGCTTGCTAATAACAAAAATTCTAATAATTATTATTCCATTCCTATTAGATTTAAATATTTTGGAAGAAGAAATTTCCCAGTTAAAATTAAATTAATTTTCTACTAGCTTATAATTAGTATTTATTTTCCAGTATGGAACTGGCCCGCCCGGGTATCCGGCGATCGCCGGAGGCCCTCAACTTTAAGGGCTCTAATGAATTACTCCAAAAAATAATTTTATTATTTATGTTTAATTTCATTTTTTAAACTAACTTAACTTTCCATTCGTTGTCAGATCGAGGGGCGAGAATTGACCATTTTAAACATGTTTTAAGTTGCTTGTTCTGAAAAGACGATTACTTATAATGAGAAAAAAGGCAAAATATAAGCTCCGCCCACCCGCCCTATATCAATTGTAATGTTTTTTTTAATCGTCGAGAGCCAAAGGAGCGGAATTTAACCACAAAATTCTTATTGTTTCTATACAAGAAATTACCAAATAGGAATAATACCTTTTTTAACTTTCGTGTTATTCAAACAATACTATGTATATTAAGAAAAAATTAAAGCCAAAGATTAAGCTCCACCCATACCTGCCCTGATCTAGATAGCAATGAAGTTTTCATTTGTTGGAGACCTAGAGGCGGAGCCTAATTGCAAAATCCATATTTCTTTACAAAAATTTACCATTTTAAACGTGTTTTAAGTTTCTAAAAATAAAAAAAAAATGAGATGGAGTGGCTGTGTCTTTGTTGCCTTTTTTTCTTAATATATACATAGTATTCTTTGAACAACACAATACTCAAAAACATGTTTTAAATTTCTTGTACAGAAATAAGAATTTTGCAGTTAAGCTCCGCCCCTTTGGTTTACAGCGAATAAAAAAAATCATCACAATTGCGATAGGGCGGGTGGGCGGGCCTACATTATGGCTTTTTGTTTTAATATGTGCAGACTTCTTTTCAGAACATGAAACTTTAAACATGTTCAAAATGGAAAATTTGTTTGAGGAAATATCAACTATGCATTTAGGCGCCGCCCCATAATTGCAAAATAAATCCATATTTCCTTGCAAAAAACATTTTAACCATGTCATAAGTTTGAAATGAAAAGATGGCTACGTATATTAAGAAAAAAAAGGCCAAATATAAGCCCCACCCACCCGCCCTATCTCAATTCTGATGATTCTTTTTTATTCGTCGTAACCCGGGGGGCGGCGCTTAATTGTAAAATCCTTATTTTCCACGCGAAATTACCACATGAAATATGTTCTTAAGTAGTCTTGTTATACACAGAAAACAAAAGATCTTAAGTGTGATGAATTTTTAAATCGTTTTCAGCCCGAGGGGCGGATCGTATTTGCAAAATGGATATTTCCCTATACAAATTTAGCATTTAAAACATGTTTTAAGTTTCTTCTTGTGAAAAGATGACTACACATATTAAGGAAAATTGGTCTAAAGAGTTTAGACAGTACTTCCCTCGCTGTCGGAAACGTGACGACTGCATGTCTATTATGTTTTTTTTTCGCATTAGATTTCATTGTTTTTTTTTGAGTCACCCGGTATATGCAAATTCAAAAAATATAAATTACAAGTACAGACTCATCATATTTTGTATATTCTAGATAGGATTTATTCGGCAAACTTTTGAGCTGACGTCATCAGTTTTTTGTAGAAGATAACCAAATATATTTTGACTAAAAATTTATTATGCTCTTTATAACCTTAAAACATTTGCAACATTTCAAAACATTCGGTTCTGGGTTTCCTGATTAAATCAATAAAATACATTTACCCATTCATTAATTTTTTTGGGTCACCCTGTATACGCAAATCCAAAAACTATGAATGGAATGATAAATCACAAGAAAAGAGTCATCATATTTTGTACATTTTAGATAGAATTTATTTAGCAAAATTTTGTGGTGACGTCATAAATTTTTTAGGGGGGATGAGCAAAAACATTTTGATCAAAAACTTACCATGCTTATGACAACTTTAAAACACCTTCAAGATTTCAAAGCATTCGGTTTTGTAGTTCCTGAGTAAATCAGTAAAATAAATTTACGCATTCATTAATGTTTTTGAGTCACCCTGTATATGCAAATCCAAAAAATATGAATGGAGTGATATATCACATGCACAGACTCATCATATTTTGTACATTTTACATAAGATTTATTTGGCAAACTTTTGAGCTGACGTCATCAAGTTTTTGGAGGGGATAACCAAATATATTTTGGGTAAAGATTTATGATGCTCTTTATAACCTTAAAACATCTGCTACATTTCAAAACATTCGGATTAGCAGATTCAAAATTAAATTGCAAAATGTTGTTTTATAATTTTGATTTTTTTTCCAAAAATCTGGACGTTTCGGGTAAAAACTCAATTCGGAGTCGTAAACTACATGTTTAGGACTATATTATTTTATACAATTTAAAACCCATTTAGTATGTACAATTTTGAAGTGACGTCATCACATTAGTGGTGGGGATGATTAGACAAATTTTGGTTAGCGTTTTACCATCTACATGATATTCCTAATATAACTACAAAATTTCACAACAATCGGTCCAGTATTTTCGGAGATTATCTGTCTTAAAAATCCGGGACGGCAGACAGACGGACAGACGGACGGACAGACGGACAGACGGACAGACGGACAGACAGAAGGAAATGGGAGACCTATTTCTTCGTCTTCTAGGGGTCATGAAAGATCGAGAAAACGTAAAAGTAGAGAGTCGGCCGACGGACTCGATTACAATACTTCCTTTGCTTACGTTTGGGAAGTAAAAAGGCAAAATGTATGCCCCGCCCACCCGCCCTTTCTCAGTTGTGGTGATTTTTAGCCAAGAAGAGGAGTTCATTGTAAAATCCTTATTTCTCTTCAAGAAATTAAAAACATGTATGAGTATCGTATTGTTGAAAGAATACTTTGTATATTAAGAAAAAAACAAGCCAAAAATTAAGCCCCACCCATATCCATCCCAAGCTCAATTGTGGTGAATTTTTCTTTCGTTGTTAGATGAAGGGACGGAGCCTAATTGCAAAATCCATATTTCTTTACAAAAATTTACCATTTTAAACGTGTTTTAAGTTTCTAAAAATAAAAAAAAAATTGAGATGGGGTGGCTGGGTCTTTTTTTGGCTTTTTTCTTAATATACATGGTATTCTTTGAACAAGACGATACCCAAAAACATGTTTTAAATTTCTTGTACAGAAATAAGAATGTTGCAGTTAAGCTCCACCTCTTTGGTTCACGGCGAATAAAAAAAATCATCACAATTGAGATAGGGCGGGTGGGCGGGCCTACATTATGGCTTTTAGTTTTAACATCTGCAGACTTCTTTTCACAACGTAAAACTTTAAACACGTTCAAAATGGAAAATGTGTATAAGGAAATATCAATTATGCATTTAGGCTCCGCCCCATAATTGCAAATTCCATATTTCCTTGCAAAAAACAGTTTAACCATGTCTTCATAAGTTTGAAATGAAAATATGGCTATGTATATTAAGATAAAAATATAAGCCCCACCCACCCGCCCTATCTCAATTCTGATGATTCTTTTTTTATTCGTCGTAAGCCGAGGGGCGGAGCTTAATTGTAAAATCCATATTTTTCTACGAGAAATTACCATGTAAAATATGTTCTTCAGTAATTATGTTATACAAAGAAAACAAAAGATCTTAAGACTGATGAATTTTTATTTCGTTGTCAGCCCGAGAGGCGGAGCGTAATTGCAAAATCGATATTTTCAACATGTTTTAAGTTTCTTCTTGTGAAAAGATGA